GAGAGAGAGAGAGAGAGAGAGAGAGAGAGAGAGAGAGAGAGAGAGAGAGAGATTCTTATGGCCTGCTGTGTAAATGTCTCTGGGGGACAAATTCACATTTTCTTCTGGTCTAGTCCTATTGGTTTCACTGGTTCTATAGTAATTTCTAGGTTGAAGAGCTCCTGTACTGAATGAGTAACGCAAACAAAGAACATAGAGTAGGTGACTCTTACCCCTCTGGCCTTGGAAATGTGGCGACTTGTCCTATCTCATCTCTGGGCTGCTGGGTAGTTTTTTAATGCAGGCTTCCCAGGTAAGGAAGGGATTGCCTTTTATAACTCCTGACTATTTGTAGAGAGCTGAGTTCCAAGTGTGGACCTGAGTTATATCAGTTACCCCTGAGAAGACATTAACCACCAACCCCGAAGAGCTGTATATGGATTCTGACAACCCATGAGCCAGATGATGTTAGCTCCAGATCAGAGCTATGCATTTTTGGTGTGTTTCTGGAAGCTTTGCTTCTTGTTTTTGAACTCAGAACTATTTGTTTATTTTTCCATTACTTTATCCAGAATATATAAGTGTTTAAGCAGAAAAAGCAGGTTTTACTGCTTTAATTCAGTCTGTGATCCTGACCAGACTTCTCAAAGGCCTGAGTCTTAATCATCTTTGATTCTTCAGCATCTGACACAGGACTAAGTGTGCCTTAAAAGTTTGCTGAATAAATTATTTCGACTTAACTTAGGTCTCATACTTGAGGCCTCTAGGAATTATATTCATTCATTCATTCATTCATTCATTCAAGAATATATATTAAGTACTGACTACATCACAGGAACTGTGCAAGCCCCTTGGGGACATTTATGAATGAAATACAGTTTTCCCACCCTGTGAGAAACCATGTGAGTTGTAAATAAGTAAAAAGGCAATTACAACTCAATGGGAAAGTGATGCTCTGCTGAAGTAGGTACAGATGCCTGGAGCTCTTAAAAGAGACACTTATCCAGACTTGGGGAGTGAGGGAGGGCTTCCTGGAAGAGAGGGAATCTAATCTGAGACATGAAGCATGAGTTGGATTTACTTAGGCAAAGAAGCTGCAGGAGAGGTGGAGAGAGGGTGGTTCCGACTGAAAACACAGGATATGCAGAAGTCCAAGCAGAAGAGATACCATGGCATTTTCAAGGAAATGAAACAAATTTAGTTTGACTGAGACATAGAACCAATAGGAATTGCCTGGGGTGAGGGAACTTGAGAGTTGCGATGAAAAGTTAAGCAGGAACCATGTTGAGAATCATAGACTTTATCTGTAGGACCCCAGAATTACCAGAAAGTTTGAAGCAGTGAAGTGACATGACCAGATCTGCTTTAGAGAGATCAGGCTGGCTACAATTTGGAAAATGTTTTGAAGGGAGTAAGGGTGGGAGAGTAGAGACAGGTAGGATGTTCTTGAAGTGGTCCAAAGTAAATGAGATGGTGGCCTTGAATAAAGGTGTGGCTTGGGAGATAGAATTGGAACTGTTTGGTCCTTGATTGTGTATGGATGCAGTAGAAAGGATGAGCCAGCCCCTTCCTTCTATCACCAAGACCAGTGCTTTCAAGAGGCCAAGTCAGGAGGTAGCTGTGGGTGGAGATTATAAGTAGAAAGAGAAGATACTGCACACATGAACAAAATGGTGACCACCAAATTCTGCATTTCTCACTATACCTTAATGGGCTTTTGCATTATATGTTACATTTCATTAACTGAATTCTTTCTTTTTTCCAGTTTGACTGTTAGGGAGTTGGGAGGTAGAAGGTGGCCCTCCAGCTTCTCTATAGAAGCTGTTCTTGTCTAGAGGCAGCTTTGTCAACTCAATGTTTGCAAAGAACCTGAGCTGTGGAGCCAGAGGCAGGCCCAATCTCTGCTCTACCACTTATGGCTCTTAAAATTTGGAATGTTTCCATAAATTCATAGAGATGCAATTTCTCGTCTCTGACATAGAGATCATATTTGTTTAATAGTAATTATGATAGTGATATAAAGAGATCATGCCTCACACATGGACGGTGCTTAGTAGATTGAAATACTACCTTTCTGCCTCTTGAAAGTTAGGTTGCTCTGAAATGGAACAAAATCATAGGCCGTTAGAGCTCACACCCTGGGGACTTGCTTGAGCGGCTGAAGCAGGCCTAAACTCTGGCCTCCTGATTCTGTATCCATGCCACTTCTCTGCCTCATATTTACATACCCAAGAGGAAGTCACCAAACCAGTGTGTCTTAGCCTATGCCTGCCCAGAGCTGCTCTCTGGAACTGTGCTCTCATGGCTCTGTGGGTTTTCTGTCCTAAGCCAAGTGGAAGCATCCTTTCAATCACTACCAGACCCAGAAGCAAGAGAGCTTCTTTGTGGATCAGAGGACCTCCCTCCGCATCCCCATGATGCATCAAAAGGAAATGCACAGGTTCTTCTACGACCAGGAGATGGCTTGCACCGTCCTCCAGATAGAATACAGCGGAAACGCCCGGGCCCTGCTCATCCTCCCTGACCCGGGGAAAATGGAGCAGGTGGAGGCCACTCTGCAGCCTGAGACCCTGAGAAAATGGGGCCAATTGCTCCTGCCCAGGTAAGTGCCAGAGAGAAAGGACCCCTACAGACCTTGTCCTAGAACCCGAGCAGATCTTGTCACCTCCAATCGCAAGAGCCCAACCCCTGGGATAGGCTGACTGTCCTGCCCTTAACCAACTGTGTAATCTTGGGTAATTTTCTCACCTTTTGGGCCTCGGGTTTACTCCTCTGTAAAATGAGGCCATAAGAGCCGCCATGTTGGGTTGCTCGGAAGATGAATCGAGTTAATACGTAGAGAATATGGGAATGCTGCCTGGTGCATGAGAATGGCTCACCGGGCTTTAATCTTATTATCCTCCCCAACCATCTTTCTGCCAATTTCCTTTCCTCTTGCTTCTCCCGTCCCCCAAATAATAACTTACTATTAGAGGGTGATTAAGTGAAGGCATAAAAACCAGATCAAGGACAATTATTAAGAATAATTATGACACCCGCAGAACAGTGTGTATATCTTAAAAGTGCATTTTTTTTTTTTTAGCTGAGCCATCCTGCCACCTGTTGGCAGCTCAGCTCGGGCCGGGCATCGAACCACTGTTGCTCAGAGCTCGCACTCTTGAGTGAGCTCTTAACCAACTGAGCCACTCGGCCGGCCCTAAGTACATCTTTCTTAATCAAAACATTCCTTAAAGAAATTAAATACCAAGAAGAACACTGTAAAATCAAAGTGCCAGTTCTATGGGACCCCAGTCCTATCCCCTTCTGTCTCACTTGCTTTTTGGTTTGTGGTTTTCTCACAGTAATTTCAGTCTTCTCTGGTTTGCCTGGACCCCCCTCACAAGCCAACCCCTTCTTGGGATGTATCTTCCTTTATGGGGTGCTCTAGGATGAAATCTAGCCTTGAGTTGTAATTACCTCATGTTGCATAACAAACCACCTCAAAATGGAATGGCTTGAAAAAACATCTATTATCTCTCAATTCTGTGGGTGGACCAGCCTAACTGGGCAGTTCTGACCTGGGGTTTCTCCTGTGTGGGAGGAGTCAGATGGTGGCCAGGCTGGAGTTCTGAGGGCTCCTCCACTCGGATGTCTGGTGCCTGGGCTGGGTGGTTGGCACAGCTAAGGCTGAGCAGGCATCTCTCTGTCTCAATGCAGCATCTCCACAAAGCAAACTTGGTCTTCTGTGTAGCATCTCAGGGTAGTTGATATTGTTATATGGCAGCTCAGGGCTCCAAGAAGGAGTGTTCCAAAAGACAGGAAGTGAAAACATCTGCTCTCTTAAGGTTGGGCTTGGAAGTGTCGCTTCTGCCACATCCTTTTGGTCAGAGCAGTCACAGAACCCACCAGATTCGAGGGACAGTGTATAGACTCAATCTCTTGATAGTCATCGTTATCTACCACCACCTGATAGGCACCAGTCACCCTTATGTCCACAGGAATCCTCCCTCAGCACCCCAATAACGCTGAAGTAGCAGAGACAGAAAAGGGTGTCTTGTGTTTGGGCAGAGATTCAAGTACCAAATAAAAGATACAGCCAAGGACAGAGGCCAGGATGTAAGGGAGTATCCTGTTGTCTATGAATCTCCTTAGCTCTGGTCGGTTTCTGATTCCAGCCCCATAGTCAAGCTCCCTTGGGGTGAGTGGGCCCCTTCCCCTCTTAGGAAGAAGTACCGAAGAATTCTAGACCAATAGATTTTCCTTCAGGAAGGGTCTGTTTTGACCTCTCACTTTGACCTTCAAGAAGCAAGACCAACCCAACTTACTTTTCTAAATCCCAGATGCTTCCTGTTACCAATTCTTGTGTCAGCATTATAATATTACTGCAGCATTTTTAATGGATTTTCAGACATGAAAATTTCAGACTGCCAGCTCTCCCTCCATTGGGCTGCGAGGAAGATTAACCTGGCAAGGAAATCACACTTCCTGGTAACTGTTCATTCTTCATTTATATTGTTTGAACACCTACTGTGTGTTAGGCTGTCCACTTTCTGCTAGTTTCTACTCAAATCGCCGCCATGGCAGGCCTGCTCCCCAAGCACTGCCTGTTCTCCACCTCTGTTTCCTCCTTTTCACAGTTTAACCCCCAACTTCAACTGCCTCCCACTTTACTCAGGCATCTGGACCCTCGTACTGCCCCCAGGAGTTAAGCTGGCAACGATTCCCTAACCTGAATTAGGGTCTCCAATTTGAATTCTTTGGAGGCAGAAGTCTCCAGACTGGCTATTAACTAGCCAAGCTGGCAGGTGCCCAGTAACTGTCAGACTGGGCATAAGTAAGAAGTAAGTAAGAATAATAAGAATAACAAGTAAGAAGAATAATCCCGAGATGAAAAGGACGGCTTTTCTCTGTGTCGCAAGAAACTACAAGGACTGTGGTGATCTGATGGGAAAGGCATGCCAGTCACAGGAAGGAGAGTTATTCTATTGATTTCGTGCCCACACTCTATATACGCCATCTCTCATCAGATCCCTGAAGCTCAGACAGGTGGGAGACGACAGTGGCATGTGTCAGGGGGGTCGCCGATAGGTGGATTTAGGATGCAGTTCAGAAGTTTGGCCAACAGAACTGGCTGATGAATCATACATGGGGGGCCGGGGTGGGAAATGTGAACAATATTTCCCCTCATGGTTATCATGTGGATTTGATCAGTTAAACTTTGTAAAAACCCTAGCCCAATGCCAGACATCTAGAAAGCCCTCCATCAGTGTGCCGAAGATGAAGACGGATGGCTGAGAAGAGGTCTTCTCAGGTCCATACACGAGAGGTCATAAGAGGGCTGCAAGGTCTGAAGAGAAGGGGGCTCTGGGTCATGGAATGTTCTGGCATAGCAGGTAGTATCGTGGGAAGACTGATTCTCTGCACTCTGGGAAACACCTCTCCCTCCCAGAGCTCAGGGAAGGAGAAGTAGAGGTAAGGAGGTAGCTCCCCCTCCTCTGTCTGATTCTCTCTCCAGCCTGTTGGATCTACATTTGCCAAGGTTTTCCATTTCTGGAACATACAACCTAGAAGAAATACTTCCCCACATTGGTCTCACTGACATATTCAACTTGGAAGCTGACTTCTCAGGAATCACTGAGCAGCTCAACAAAACCATCTCCAGGGTAAGGTGGTGACGTGGATGTGTGTGTGTGTGGTGTGTGGTGGGGGTCTTTTCTCCTTGGACATAAAGTGTTTGTTTGAAAGTCAAGCTCCCCTTTCTTTTTCCTGTTCTGGTTCTTTAAGAACACAACCTTTAAGGCTTCTTTTCATGGGCAACTCCCTTCCCACCTCCCTCTATAATCTTCAGAGCAGGGACACAGAGCCCTGAATCGAGTAGCCGCATATTCAGGGTCACCCACGGAGCCAGAATTTCCCCAGGTGTGGGACTAGCTTTGTTTTCATCCCTTCTACTTCCTGTTAGGGCAGACGATGAAACTATGTCTGCTTTTATTAGAGCTATAGAGAGTAGCGGGAGCGTGAACAGGAGGTGTAGCCATCAGCCTCACTGCAGCAACAACCCCGCAATCTCAGCGCCTTATCAGAACAGAGGCGTATTTCCTGTTCACTTTACCGGTTAGAGGCATGCCACAGATCTGGCTTTCAGGATGTAGGTTAAAGGAGAGGCCCCTATTTGGGTCATGCCAGTCCCATAACAGTGAGAAAAAAGCAAGATGGCTCTTAACACCTCTCTTCACAGAGAGCCTATGTCAAGGCCACTCCCATGCCACTGGCTAACACAAGTCCCACCATCAAGACAGACATCAGTGGGGTGGGTTTGTGTTCCCCTCCTGCCAGGGGCAGTGCTAGTCACAGGGCACGAGCAAGGATCAATAATCCCTAATGGGGGGCGGGCCGGTTGGCTCAGTTGGTTAGAGCGCGTGCTCTTAACAATAAGGCTGTCGGTTTGACTCCCGCATGGGATGGTGGCTGTGCCTCCCACAACTAGATTAAAAATGGCGACTGGACTTGGAGCTGAGCTGCACCCTCCACAACTAAGATTGAAGGACAACAACTTGACTTGGAGCTGATGGGTCCTGGGAAAAACACACTGTTCCCCCAATAAAGTTAAAAAAAATAATAATAATCCCTAATGGGAAGGGAGAGTTAATACGGGGGAACAGTAATGCAATTTTCCACAGGAAGGAAGGCAGCAAAGCCTTTCCATTCTCTTCAGTTACCCTTTTTGTTTTAGAATACTCAGTGATTGCCATTTGAGTCTTTGCTAGGAATTTCATAATGAAAGTATTCTGTCTTTTATTTGGGAAAGACCAGCTGAGACTTGGGATGTGAAACCAAGACAACAGGGATGTGCTCTGTGTGTGTGTGCATGCACACCTACGGCGGAGAGGGTGGGCAAGAAGGGAACTATTCACGGTGACCTTAAATGCCAGATTTATCTCTTCATGGAGTTTTTTAGAAATGAAAGGGATCATCAAGGCCAAAGTTTTTCAACTTTTTTAAAGCCTCAGAACCCTTTCTTCTTAAGTTGTGTAACAATGGACTTTGTTGAAAAAAGGAATTCTTCTCACAGAGGTCAGTAGAGGTCTTGGCACACCAGACAGCCTAGTCCCACTGAGTTCATGAAAACCGTTGATTTAGGCTGAACAAGCCCTTTAAAAATGAGAAAACTGGGGCTCAGAGAGGGTGAGCGCAGCTCTCAACAGAGAATGACATGCAGGCCTGGGCCGCTCACACCCAGGTGTCCTAAAAGATGCTGTTGGGTTTTTGCAGCCTGGTGCATGCTTGGCGGCCCTCAGTCTGGCTCAAGCCCATTTGTTTCCCCATCAAAGAGCAAACACACCCTCAGGGTGAGCCCCCAGACAGAGGGGGAGAAGTGGGGAGAAGAGGAAAGTGAAATATAGTCCTGAGTGTCTGTCTTGGGAGGCAGGGCCTGTGAGGCCTGATGGGGTGACTCTGCCTCTATCTCCTCAGCATTGTACAAGGTGGAATCTGTCCCCTTGAGGTGCCCTGAGCTGATGCTGTCTGTGCCCTCTTTTCTCTTTCTAGGTGTCACACAAGGTGGCAGTGGACATGAGTGAGCGGGGAACCGAGGCAGGGGCTGCCTCAGGCCTCCTCTCCCAGCCCCAGTCTCTGAACATGACATCGGCCCCACCCACCCATTTCAACAGGCCTTTCCTGGTGCTCCTTTGGGAGGTGACCACCCAGAGCTTACTGTTCCTGGGAAAAGTCGTCAACCCAGTGGCAGGGTGACATGGTCGGAGGCCAGGGGGTGTCTTGTTTCTCCCCCACCAACCAAACAGGGAGCCAGCACCAGCCTACATCATGGGGGGCTGTGAGGGCCAGTTCATCAGTGTGCAAAGATCCTAATAAAGTTGACCTTGGGTTATGTGAACACCGAACAGCAATGCTTAAAGAGGGTCCACTCCATTCTAGCCATTTGCTCTATAATTTCCTTGAATCTGGTGTCAACTATGGTTAGAAGGTTGAAAATGAGAGCAGCCTCATGGTAAGGCCTTCTGGGAGCTATCCCCCACCACCATCACGACTGCGGGTCTTTCCCAAGTGTCTACTGGGGAAGAGTCCCAGGAAAAGGCACAAAGGACATCGGGAGGAATAAGCGAGTCTCTCCCTTCACAGTGGCCAATGTTGGCTGTATGGCAAAGTGAGGTCATCCTGAAATGTCATTGCCCAGATGTCAGTGGCTAGATCACCTTCAGCGGAGATGGATGCCAGGGCAAGAGGGAGGCCTTAGGCTCCACCTGATATTCCCCGAAGAGCAGGTGGTGCGAGGATGGGCCAATCCAACATGGGAGATCACATGCCCAAGGGCAACTCAAGATCGAAGGAAGTGGGAGGGTCAACATGGCCAGGTGGCAATGGGTGTTGGCCACATATTTGGTTAGTGGGATGGACTGGGAGCAGTATTTGATTGCAATGGAACATCCTTCAGAAGTTGCAAGGTCCACTCCCAAAAGTGTGTCCCTCCAGGCTTAGAGAGGCATCTTCCTGAAACTAGTGGGGAAACACAAAGGTATGGCAACTCAGCTGCAGTGTGTGTGTTGCATGTGACAACATCCGTCCCCACAAGGAAGTCAGTGCCAGGACTTAGAGGGTGGCAATAGGTGATGCAGGTATAGGAAGGAGTCATACAAAAAAGCATCAGTGGTAGGACAGCAACCCCCAACACCCACCCCACGTAGGTGAGACCTGAGTTGGATCTTGAAAATCAGGTGGGTCTTAAATAAAGGGAAAGAGGGTAAGACAGTCTGGGGCAGGGTAGGGGAGACATGCTGTGGGCAACAGACTCTAGGGAAAGAAAGAAAAGGGTGGATTCTGATAAAACAAGAGAAAACCAGTTTTTCAGCAATAGCAAGTTCATGGAGTGTCACAGGGGAAGGTAATGCTGGAGAGCTATTGGGAGGTAAAAGGCTGGAGGCTTTGGATGCCAGGGTAAAGGTGTGAACTTTGTCCTGCCGACAGTGGGGAGTATCTGTAGGCTCGTGGGCAGGTGTGGATGTAGATAAAGTGGTGAGTGGGGAAATCACCTGACAGCAGGGTGTGGGTAAGACCGAAACCAGGGTGAGGGGCTGGCAGGAAGGTACTGCATTGTGAGGTCCGCCCTGGCCACATGCCCTGTTCTGACCCTCCCCACATCCCTCTTCCACCAGGCCACCAGCATGCACGATCCCACGTCACAGACAGCCCCCCTTGACCCTCTACAACCCCTCCCCACCCTGCTCTGCCTGTCTGTGGACACCATGTCTCTTATCAGAAAGGAAGGCACTACAGAAAGCCCATCCCACATCCTGGGCAACCGGCCATGCACAAAGCCTCTCTGTTGCTTTGAACTAAAAATTGAGCCATAGCTATATTCAGACACTTGAAGATCTGCCCAAATCCTCTCCAGAGTGGAATTGGCTCCTGCAGAAACAAGTGGCTGACTTTCCAAGGGACGTGCAAGCCAAAAATATTAAAGAAAGAAGATTCTTAATCAAACATCTTACATTGGGTCAGGCATTCTGGAAGATTCTGAGAGTGGAGTGGGGAACTGGACAGACACCCATCCTCATGGGCTCACAGACTTGCGGGGGAGATGGACATTGAACAAGTACTTACATTAAAGTGTGTAGACAGTCATGACACAGGCCGTATGTAGGCTATTGGGGCACACACATTCACTGCTTTGACCCAGATTTATTGAACACCTACTATGTGCCAAGTACTGTTTTAGGCCTTGGGAATAGAGCAGTGAACAAAACAGACAATCAGCTTTGACCTCATGGGGACTGCATCTAGTGAGGGAAAACTGAGAGTAAACACAACAAGCAAGTAAAGTATATACTATACAAGAGCAGTGGGGTCAAGTTTTCTATGGACAAGAGCACACCCAGGAAAGACCCTCTGATGGTGACCAAGCGGAGCGCTCGGCGGTGAAGCTGGGTTTAAGCTGAAGTTGTAATGTGCTCCCTTTAATCCTTCCCATGAAGGGAAACTACGATTGGAAGCTACCCTCCCCCCCCCCACCACCCATCATCTCTTTTGCCATCTCAGGTGGTCAGTGGTCTAAAGGTATTAGTGATCATAGAACCATTGAACAGCCCCCCTTAAGTCTCCCTCTCTATGCCCATTGTCTCCTTGCAAAAGTACACTGTGCGCTTACTATGTCCTGGACACTTACAGGCAACCGACAGATATCAACACATGTGGCACTCCCAGTAATTGTGAGAAGTAATCTCTGCTATGTCTCCATCTTACAGGTGGGGAAACAAAGGCACAATTTGCTAGCCCATAACAGAGTCTGGATTGGAACCCAGGCTAGAGGGCTCCGTAGCCCCTATCCTTGACTTCTCTGCCACGCCTCCTTTTAGGAGCGCACCTCAGAAGCCACCCTTCCACTCCCTCCTGGCTGCTACTCTGCAGGGACCTGGCTCTCAGGGGCAGAGCGGGGAGGGGCGGGAAGAAACCTCACAAGCAGAAGCATTTGGGGAGACTGTAGGCAAAGACCCACAAGCACGGGTGGAAACTGGTGGTTTAAGAAGCGCTTAACGTGGACAGGGACTCCCACTCGTCTATTCATTGACCTTGCCTGAGACCAGACTGGCACAGAATAAGCAGCAAAACCCCTTTACTAGCTTAATGCTGTGAGGGGTGAAGGGAAGTAGAGGTTGCCACCTCAAAATATGCCTTTTTGGGATATTGATGATTTTAAGCTGGTTATTTTTAAGAAACAAGACTAGAAAGAAACTTTGACCCTCCTCCTCACCTGCCTAAAGGAATTCTGACAGAAAAGCGTGCTTTAAGGTTAGCATAATATAAACTAATTGTGGCAGAGAGGAATGGAATACAGTGTTTTTGTTCGGCTCCCTTCTGTGTCCCATTGTTTCCAGCGGCCCGGCAAGGATTGGTTCACCACATCTCTGCTCTTTCTCAGCTACCTGTGAATGGCCGGCTTTCCCTTTGACATCCCAGACACCTGCCTCTCTCTCTTCCGTCCAGAATGGCATAGAAGCCTCTACTGCCTCATTTGTCCTCAAGTCCCATATTTGTATGGAAACCCCATATGTACATATGTAATACATGTAGTTATTGTCTTCTGTTAATCTGTCTCATGTCAATTTGATTATTAGACCAGCCAGAAGAACTTAGAAGCGTAGAGGGAAAATTATTTCTCCCCCCTCCGGGGGAAAGTGATGTTACCTGGTAGAATTTCGAGGTAAAGACTCAGGGGTAGGGAAGGAAACAGCTTGCTGAAGGACATGGTATAAAGGTCCAGAAAGCTGTGAGTGGGTTTAGTGGGAGGGACTCCGATTTATTCGAAGCTGTGCAGATAGCAGCTTCTCTTTAATCTTTCTCCTTCCCGCTCTCCTTGCGGAAGTAAGACTTCTGGACTCTAGCGAATTCTTACACCCTCCCATTGGTTGGGCAACCTTGGACACATTGCTGATCCCTCTGTGACTCACTTCCCCCTGCAACATGGAAAGTACAAAATCCATTTTATAGAATTGTGAAAATCATATGAGGTCATGAGTGTGAAGCCTTAAGTGCTGGTGTTATCCAGTAAGTGCTCAATGTACATTTGTTTCTTCCCACTCCATCCTTTTGGCTGCCCCAGCCATCAAGGCTGTCTTTTGTTTCCTCAGAGCATAGCTCATCTCTGGGGAATGTTCAAATCCCAAGTGGCCACTGGTACAGGTGTCAGACGCAACCCCTCCCAGTGAAACCCTGTAGGCAGCACGTCTTCAAAACCCAAAGGTGTGGATGGAGACGCTTCCGGGTGCTTGGCCTGGGTATGAAAGGCCTCCTGGAGGGCAAGACCATTCTTGCTGCAGGGACATTTGCTGTGACACCGTGTCACTAAAAGAAAGCCTCTGTCCCAGGGATCAGGGCTGAAACTGCGGAGCCTCACAAGAGTGAAAGCCCCGGGGCTTTTCTCCACAGAAGCATCATTGTGAGTGACCGTCTACTGTGTTGCTTCCTCCCTCCCTTCTTAAGCTGTCACTGTTAATCACCTGTGACTTCAGTGAGATTCTTTGCAACTGGAGGTTCCAGATGTATTTATACTCCACGTGGACCTTTTAACCATCTAGAAGAACCCAGTTACTTTCACGGTAAGTCAACAGCTACCTAAAATTTATATTTTTAAAGATCTTGTGATGCTCTTGGGTGGGCGCTGTCTAATCAGATGAAGGTCTGAATAGCACAACAGGCTGGCCCCTTCCCTCAATAAGGGAGAACCCTCTTGCCTGATGGACTCTGAACTAGAATGCCAGCTCTGCAGATTTTGGACTTGCCAGCCTCCATAATTACTTGAGCTATTCCATGTCATTCCATCAGATAGATAGAGATAGAGATAGAGATAGAGATAGAGATAGAGACGTGGCTATAGACATATAGGTATTTCCTATTGGCTTTGTTTCTCTGGTGAACCCCATTGCACTCATCTGCAATCCCCAACGTCAACTCTAGTGTGTGAGATGACCCTTGCTGATAAGAAATGTTGTTACCTCTTTTCTGGAGCTCTCAAAATTGTAGAATAGGGTTTTATTGTTCACTGACGTGTTGGAAACCAGTGTGCTATTAAGATTGTAACAGGGCAAAGATCTGGAAACACCCATGAATTTCCCAGCAGTGATGTCTGAACATGATGCAAAAGGATTTCCTGTGGCTTTGAACGAGTATCATCACAGAGCCCTGGTCACCTGGACTGGACCTGCTGACATACGCCTCAGACCCACAGGGCCTGTTCCACCCAAAGTCCAACCCCAAATCTGGAATCTTGTTCTTATGATGTTTCAAGACAGAAAGCCAATGGCAGGTGAGGGGATGAGGGAGTGTGGGGTTGGGATGTACCCAGAAACAGACTGAAAGGCAATATGTCCCATGCTAAATGTGTGACAGG